TGTCAACCGCGATAAGCGTCTCGCAGCGCGTTCCTCACGAGTATCAAATCGATTTAGTGTAGGCAGGGATAAGCGCAACTTTCCTTTAGCTATATAGTCTTCATCACTGCCAGAAGAGCTTGACTCATCGTTTGATTCCTCGTCCTCTGGTTCATCTGATTCCTGACGGATATCATCCTTCTTTGCCGGTTGCTCCCCCACCCGATCCTCCAAGTTGCCACCGCGCCTCACGTTGAGCGTCGACTCTGTTCGTCGGCGTAACTGCAGTTGACTGCTGGTCGTAGCCGCTGTCACAATAGCAGTCGCCATGCGGCTACTCTTACGCGTGGCCGTAGTCTGTCGCTGGCTTAGCAGTTGCGGTTGCATCTCTGGCTGGATGGGGGCGTTCGGAAAGCGCTGTTGTTGGCCACCACCGCCATTGCTGCTGCTGCTACCCGTTGACAGCTGGCGCTGCAGCTGCGCAAGCGCAGTCTGCATCTGTGACGGTGGGGCTGCTGCCGTGCCTTTGCGTCGTCTGCCCACGGCTGTGGCACGATTTTGCAGCTTGACAGGTGTGGTTGTTGTAGTCAAACTTGGCACCACCTCCACTTCGCTGGTACTGTCCAAGCTGGGCGAGGAAATGCCGTGGTGACCCCGCGCATCTGAGGTCGTTTGCCGATCGACATCTGTAGGCAGCTCGCTACTGCTGCGAGTTGTCGTTCTGGGGAACATGAAATTTTCGGCCTCACCGTTGAGCCGCTGCAGCTCAGATTGACGCACTTTCTGGAATTTAACAATTAACGAGGGCGAGTCCATTACGTTGCCAGAGACATTAGTAGCTCCGCGCCTAATACGAGGTGACGTGGCTACTGCATCGCTAGCTTCGACCACCTTGTAGAGAGATGATGGCGGCAGCATTGCGCGAATTGGCGGCGACAAAACCGAATTCTGCGTCTTACGCCGCGTCGGGTTGGTGGGAGTGGCAGCAGCTGTTGTAGCATTGTTGACCGTCTCCTCCACGCGCTGCAACTCTGTCAGGCTACAGGGTGTCGTAATTTTCTTAACGGGTGAAGGTGTCTGCTGGTTGGGTGACGTATTGGCCGTAGCTCTGAACTTTTCCGAGGAATGCTTGCCCTTAGTTATGCGCTTCGATTTCTCACGTAACGCTGGAGACGGGCGTTGCCTGTTATTATTATTACTGCCACTGCTAATACTTTGTTGAGCTGCATTGGAATCGGATTGATTAGGTGATTTTGTGGCAAAGGCAATAGAGTTATTGCTGAGAAGCTCATCAACTTCCATATCGCTGTTTATCTCTGCGTCAGCTTGTTCCGATTCCTTCCTCAAATATTTACGATGCTTCTGCTGTTCTCTTTTAAGAAAGCCGTTTACACTCGCCGACACTTGAATAAGCGTATCGAGGGCCACAAAGTTGTGTACGTTTTTGGCAAATAATTCGTGCTCCTTACTTTGCAAATGTGTAGTTAACGTGTCGTACTCGATCTTGCAAATCTCGCACACACCGCACTGCTTGTCGCTGGATTCCTTTAACTCTCTACAATGTGATCGAGGACTGTCTGGCGTATGCACAGAAACCGGTGGCTTTTTGAGCGCTTGAACGACAGCGTGTTGCAAAGGCACCGTCTGTGGGTGATGCAGATCTTTATCCTGTTGACGTTGCGAAGTCCGTGAGCCTGGAGACTTACGTGTCATACTTTGAACATAGGCCTTGGTCTGTAAACGAAAGGCACTGTCTTCGCTGCTCAAATCAATTTTAGGCCACTCCTCGGGCTGTTTAAGTAGGTGATAGTATGGTCGGTGATTTCGTTTGATGGACTCGATCTTGATAAAATGACCCTTTAGGTGAATATTAGCCGAACCACCTGTCTGTGTTCCACCTAAGGTGCCAGATGCTTTCAAATACTGACGTAGCTCGGTCTGAATACGCTGAAAGAAGCGTAGGGCGTACTCTGTCTGCCAGACGGTGTATGTTGCAAGTGAAAGCCTGCTGCTACTTGGTGTATTGCTGCGATAATTTTGCTGGTTCTGTTGTGGCAGCTCAGTTTGGATTGATGTGCTCAGCTGTACAGCACGCACACGACTCAGAATAGCATCGGCACGAGTTTGCCGAGTCCTGCGCTGTAGGCCAATGCCATTATCATGGACTGTTGTGATTGGAGTATTCGGCGTTTGAGGTGAGTTAAGTGCGGGTTGTGCTAAATGGGCTCCCAGCTGACTACGGGTGTTCTTGCGAGCATCAGTAATTGCAAGCGACGAGCCTTTTTCCTTATCGGTAATGAAATGGGTAATACTGTCGTTGAGAAAGAATTCAAGGGTGCCCCCAAGCGCCTTGATGTCCGCCTCAATGCGCTTGGCTAGCTGATGATCGCAAATATCCAAATAAAACTTAAAGTGGCAGAGTGGACGCTTGCTCTTGATGACCTTTACTTTGGAGCGCTGATGAGGATGTTGCTGACGCTCTGGCTGGGGCTGCTGCTGAGTATTTGCTCTTGCTGTTGCGAGATTGCTTTTGCTAGCACTTTGCTTATCCGACTGTGGTTGCATACCTTTAGGCGCAAAAAAGCTGCATTTGTTGTTGTGATGTGAATTTGGTGGACCAAGAATTAGATATAAATAAATTGAAAATGTATTAATTAATTTGAAACGCTTTAAGCCTACATATAGCAGCAGCCACCAACCAACTATCAACTATCATCATCCTTAAAAAACATGTTTTACCTTTTCGTCATTATGGAATTTGTCTTTATATAACGACTCTTGTTCAATAAGGTTTTTTTCGAGTTTTTTCGTATATGAGTGCAATTCAGACAAGTTGTATGATTCTCAAGGATTCTCAAGAATTCTCAAGGTTTCCAAGGTGATCAAAATGGTGCTCAATTCATTAAAATAAACCTTGCTCGTCCTTTATTGTCCTTTTATTGCCAATAAGCAACCCGAACATGCTTTTCTGTTGCAGTTTCAAAGGCAAAGAAATTAAAGACAAAATATATTCAAAATAAATCAGCGAGTCATGTCTTTTGTTTCTTTTTGAACAGTAATTAGATCAGTTGTTGATAAAGGACACATTTCATGAAGTTAATTTAAAAATTGAGCGTTGCTTAATTTAATTTCATTGTCTACTTCGTATATAAACCAACACATAATTCTTAAAAATAATAAACTTAACAATTTCAGCAAAAATAATCAAATTAATTAACTAACTTTCGAATGTCCTTCTGAGTTTTTGTTTATGATGTACTTCAGAAAACCATGGAGAGGGGAGGGTCTATATAATTGCATCAGCTGGATTTCCTCACTCAATTAATTTGCGGTAGGTCGCGGTAAGAACCAAAAATTACTGTATGATACATTCGCTTATGAACTCCAAGAATTGTTTATCTATGATAATGGCTTTGGATTCAGAAAAACAGATATATTTAAATGATTTGTAACTTGGCAATCTGTGGACCCAATTCCAAAATTGTCTACAAAGTCTACAGCATCAACAATTATTTACCCCATAAATGATGGAACTGAAATAAATCAAGAACAGAAGAATAACTAAAAAAAAAAACACTAATAAGTTTCGTTACAACTCAATTGAAAACTCTTTTTTGCCTTTTGTTGTTTTGCAGTCATTATTAGCAAATGTCGAGCTTAGTTTGTCTTTATTATTTTTTTTTTTGTATTTATTTATATTCCCCAATTTGCACCGGTCGTCTGCATATGTACACACAAACACAAGCACACATATATGTACACATATATTGCATACAGCACACAAACGTTTTATAGGTATGTGTGAGCAGGGTTTACTGCCAACCATTTCATGTCGATCGTTTTGCTAACAGAATAAAGAGCACACGTTGGCATCTTGTTTAATTTCAGCAGCTGATTCACAACGTGAATTTTTAACCCATTTTAACAGTACTAGAGATGTTTAAGACATACAAAAAATATTGCTACAAATCGATTACTAGGCTCTGTTGCTGACTTTTAGAAGCAAAAAGTGGAAAGACAAAATCGCGTATTTCTTTCATCACAGAGCAATAGGAACACAGAAATCGAAAAACAGATAAAAAAAAAAATACAAAATAAATAAATAAAACATAAACGAGGCAAGAAAACAGACAACGAAACGTGCACATGTATGCACAGTTGCAATGTGCGGTCAGACGCATGAAGTTGTGGATGAAGCTGCTAAACCACAGAAAATAACTACTAAAAAAAAAATACATATGTACATACATATGCACACGTAGCTGTGTGAATGTTTTTACATATTTCGTATGCCATGGAGACCGAAACATATTCACTCTCATTCAAATACGCACACACACATGCAGCGACATAGCGAGACGTAGCTACCACAAAATGTCTTGCTCTAAAACGCTTGCAATAGAATGTACATATGTATGTGTGTACACAAATACATGCATGCGTGTATGCATCTGGATGTATACGTATACGCTTCAAGTACACAAGAGGTCTAAACAAAAAATTGTTCGTTATTTCTGCTGTTATTTACAAATTACGAGTAATACTCGCTCAATTTTCATTATACACAGCTACGAGCTTTCGTCGCCGTCGCTTGTTTCTCTTCTACTTAACGAGAAAATACGAACAAATGGTGACGAATCGTTCATAAAAATTAACGAAAACAGAAAAAAATAAACGTACTCTAACTTAAATAACACTGAAAAGTTCGTTGCATTTACACACACACACATAAAGACAACATGCTATGGCGGGAACTGCTGCTTTTAGTTTGTTTGGTGTGAATGGTCTTACCTTTTAAAAATTCACGTAGTTGTTCGGCAGATATATTTCTATAGCCCAATTCATTTAGGTGCTGAAGTATAGCCCGCGCATCCAATGGCAAATGTGACATTTTTCCAGCATTTACTGATCTAAATATGTAAATATATTACTGTTTATGTTCATAAACTACACATGCACAAACACACACGCATTCGCACATACACACACACACACACACACACACACAGAGATGTACTCACAAGCATCAACGACCACCACTATGCCAACCAAATAGCGTTTCTCTTTCTTTCTCTTGTGTTGCTTCGTTTCTTTCCTGTTCACTTTGTGTTTGTGCTTCTTTTTGAGCCCGTTTTGTGCTGCCGTTTGCTGCCGACAATCGAATTGACAAGCAAAAAAAATGTTCACTGTACCTTTTTTTGTCGCATACTTTGCGTTGAATTTATTTCTCAGATTACGTTTAAATGCTGAAATCGTTTTATTTATGGCAAATTTAAAAACTTGCTGTTGTCTGCCTCTGCTATGCTCACGACAATACAGCTAAAAATTAGCGTCGCCGTCGCGTCAAATTTTTGCTTTAGAATTTTTTAGATAACTCTAAGGCCGTACATTCTTGTCGTATAGTGTACGGCGTGGTTTTATATGATAAAAAAGATTTAACTTTTGTTATTTGTATAAATTTGTTCAATGATTTTATAACAACTTCCACAAATTAAGTGCACACGCAAACTCAACTAGCACAATAACTCTTAGTTCAATGATACTGTCGATAACAAAAGGTATCGCTAGCGATGGCACATAGTATCGAAAAGTGAATTTTTTGAAGTATCGATAGTAATGCGTGGTAAAATATATTCATTTTCATTGTTTACGCCTGTTTTATCGCTTTTGTGTATAACTGCGCCTGCGTCCGTACTTAATTTACTACTAGTACTTACCCCATTGAAAATGTTCCGCCACTGTAACTTATATATGCTGGGCCTGCTCCTTGTAGGTGAGTAACGCATTTTAATATTTTTGTGTATCCAAATGAATCCGTTCACCATTTTTATTGCTTTGTCATATACGCAGCCTCCGCTTGTCTAATTTCCAACGTGGACGGCTACCGTCAAGGATATCGGCGTGCGTCAACATCGACGCCAACGACGACAACGCCGCCTCCTCAAACGCCCAAGGAATATTTGGACAGCAAGTCGAGTTTCTCGACATTCGGCATTATCGCCATAATATTCACGTGCATTGTGATCTCTCTGGCGTTCTACTATGGCATCATGTGCTATCCTCTGCTGTGCCGCGAGGATAAGAAATACCGCTTCATGGACGTGTCCACAATCACGGCAGCCACATCACGTTCTATACAGTCAATAGAAAACTATCCCGTGGACCAAAAGCATAATCATCAACTTGCCTAAATCATTGACAGATATATGTATCTTTTAACGTATAGAATGACTGCAAAGAACACAAACATATATATGCTGGGGACAGCAGACACGATTTTATACAGGTATTTGACATTCATCAGGTTGCGGCCCAAAACCAAAACCATAAGAAAAAACAATTCAAGTCACGCTTCTTTCTTACAATCTGGCGTATCTTTATCTCGAAATTAAAACACGATTTTGGGGAACTTTCTTTTGAGAGATCCCCTAGAATTAGTCTAAAGTAAACAATTGCTCACTGGTTGTACTTAAAACACACCTTATACTGATTTTATTCATATATACCCTTAGATTTAAATTTATGCATTTAGCATAGCGGCAATTTTGAAAGATTTGATGCATTTAGTACCTTATTTACCTAATGATACTTGCATGTAAGATAAATGTTTCATATAATCTTGGCCAATATTGTTTTTTTTAGCTAAAGCCATATATTGCAACTTGTGTTTTACTTAACATTTTAGACAAATAAATATTGCCGCCAACGCCACCCACAATTTTTCCAAACCACACGTTTATTGTTTATAAAAAGATTAGTGTTTATTCATTTAGTTACGCTGTCTGACTTAGTATTAGAGAAGATTAAGTTAATCGGTTGGCTAGCTGGAAAATTGAGCATGAACTGCAGTCTTGTTGAAGAGTTAATTCGGTTTAACAAGCCGCATTACAGTTCGTCCTTGACATCATCGTCCAGATCAATGTCGCTCAGATCGATGTCCTCCTCGGTGGGTAGCTGCCCGTCCTTGCCGTCCCAAGGGTCGACGCTGATGATAGCTGGTTTCTTGGCTCCGCGAACGGGTGACGTATGGCCACGGCCGTAGGATATGTCGCGCAGGAACTCATTTATGCCATCCTTGGAGAAGGAGCCTTTTAGCACGGAAAACTTCATTTTCTTAAAGTTGACAACCGCCATGGCCGGATACCCGAAACCACCAACTTCCAAAGACTCCTCCAGAGCTGGCTGTTGACCGCCCTCGGCCCAGGCCCAACCCCAAAGCTTTTGCTTAAACTTCTCGCTCAAGATGCGCAAAGTGTCCAGGAACTTGTTGCGACACTTGGCGTCGCAGTCTAGAATATGAGGCAGAACAGAGACCACGCACAAGGGTTTGCCCTCGCAAGCACTGTCGAAAGTTGATTCATCGGTTATCTCCACAAGCTCTGGCGCTGGCACATTCTCCGTGTGCTTATCGCTAGCCCAGCTGATTATTTCAGAGGCAGTCCTACCACCATTGTATTCCTCAGCATCGCTGGAGCTTTTCGAGCCGGCTGGGAAGAACTTGATGGTCGGATAGCCACGTACATTGTACTCGGCCGCCTTGCTTTGATGTGCCGTCGCGTCCAGAGCGCCCAGCTTGACTTTGCCCTTTAGCTCCTTGGCAGCCTTGGCCCACTCAGGCGCCAGATTCTTGCAGTGACCGCACCAGGGCGCAAAGAACTCCACCAGCCAAATGTCTTCGGAATTCAGCACAAGTTTGTCGAAGTTATCTTCGGTTAGCTCGATGACGTCACTATCGGAGCTCGAGGAGCGGCTCTTACTGCTGCTGTCCCCGCCTCCGAAAGCGGCCTGAACCTTCTTCTTGGCCTCAGCCAGAGCGGCCTCTGCAATCGCTTTAGCTGTGCGTTGCCCATTGTAATCGGTAGGCGATTGTTTATTGGCGCCGAAGATTTTGATCGTGGGAAAGCCACGTACATTATATTTGCCACCAAGTTCGGAATGCTGATCGGCATTGACCGAACCCACCTTAATAACGCCCTTGAGCGCTTCGGCCAGCTTCTTGTATTCGGGCACCAGGCTCTGGCAGTGTCCGCACCAAGGCGCATAGAATTCGACAACCCATATGGCGTTGTCCTGGACAACCTCGCGATTGAAGTTCGACGGTGTCAGCTCCACAACGTTGTCGGAAGGTGAATAAAATGCGCTGGCGCTGCCGGAAACGAGCAACAATATGCTCGCAGCTATGTGGGCGTATTGGTTATTAATTTTGGTAAGTTTAGGTAAAGATTACAAATACATATAGTTTCGATTGGGGTAGTTACTTACACGCATATAACAATTGAATCATTGTTGTTTTTGGATGAGCTGTTTTATTTTATTAAACTTCTTAGCTTCTTTAAATTTGTTTGCAGAAACGTAAAGTGCAATCGCCGACTTACACGTCACTCGCTTGCGGGTGTATTAAGTGAGATTTAGCCAACACTAACATTTATATACAGCTGTGGGCACCCAGAAACGTAAGCATTTTTAAATAACATGAATGGTGCATTCTGTTGGCAAAAGAACTGACGTGTTTACAGTGCCAATTGAGTAAATGATGTGTAAACACTTCGGTTTTTAAGTCTTGTTTAATGCACCAGCTAAAAAGTGTTAAATCTGCAACATTACTTAATTTCTTGTTATTTGGGTTAAACAGCAAAGCGCAGGTTAGTTTTTTGTACTATAATATTATATATATCGAATTTTACACTACAAAACAGATTTCATTTTGACTTTTGTTTGTAAAGTATATTTGTCAGCATTTGAATTTCATCATTATCTTAAAACGCTTAAATGATCGTTCGCTGAATAGTGCACTTGACCATGCGTGCCTACTTTGTTAATTTTTATATAAAACTGATTGTAAACACAATCAGTGACTAGGAAGCAAAGTTCGTTGGGCGATATTCCATTAGATAAATATGCATTTCAATATTTAAAGTAAAATATTATGCGCTGCAAATGAACAAAAAAACATGTAATTTGCTTGATCTGGCAGCGCTTACTTTTGCTGGCTGACAATTAACTGGCTGGTATAGAACACAGCGCGGTTAGTTGAGTTAGGTTAAAGCATGCACACTTATACAAGCCAAGTTCTTTTTGCGGCATTTCAGTTAGTTAATTTCATGTGTCCAGTTAGAGGTCTCATATATTTTAGTCGCAGATTGCTTTATGCGCCTGTCGCACCAATTACGTGCCAACCCCCAACTTGCCCGCACAGAATTGTCTGGTGCCGGTCTGCGTGTGCGTATGAGATAAAATATGTGGTCAATTTCACTTAATAGCGACTTAGTAGTAGTGTTGCCAAGATTTATGTGACGTTAATATTGCGTGCATAGAACATTGAAATTGCCGGTGACTGTGATTTCTGTGCCAGCATCTGTCAACTCTGCTGTGTTTTGATTTCTTGTGTGAAGGGTTAATTGACGTAGGTTATGTATATATATATATATTTTTATTTTTATGATTATTGAACCTTAATGCACATCGAATGGCACACTGTACTCAAATACAGATTTAATGTCAGAAAGTCATAAATTGCAAAACAAAGAGAGCGGTCCTAAGCTCTTTAGGCTGCTCGCCCACCCACACAAATACACACATTTGTATGCATACATACATATGTGTGCGTGTATGTACGTACATGTAATGTACATTTGCGCTGCACTTTTCTAAGCATAAAAACCAAAAAAATTTGTATGTTTATATGTGTGTATGTAGGTGTGGGTGAACGGTACCCCACTCACATTATCAACATACTTTAGCCAATGCTTATGCCCAGCGGAGCAATTTTTTTATTGATACTCATCGCTGGGGGACTGAGAGGGTGAAATTGAATAACCAAGAGTAACCCCTTGCTGGAGACGAGACTGGAGACTTGTCAAACAAACACCTTTGTATTGAATATGTGCGATGTGAATATGCGACTGTCGCTGACATTATGCTGTCGCAAGGCGTGTTCCGTTTTATCACCAAATGCCATTTTGCGATGTGTCATATTTACTTTGCGGATTTGCCCATTATTCACTTGACGACGCTCCGTTCGAGTGTTTTTGCGGCTTAGTTTAAAGTTGATTTTTTGACACGCTTCTTATTTCTTTCCCTCTTTTTGTATTTTTTTTTTGCGATTTCTTACCATGATGCTTTGCAAATTTTGCGTTATCTATTTTTCTATATCATTGAGCTGCTTTTTATGGGATTTGCTGGGTCTGGCTTCTGGTTGGGTTAGATTAACTTGGACCGAGATCTCTCTCTCTCTCTCTCTCTCTCTCTCTCTCTGTTTGGGGTTGTCTGTGTGGATTTTTTTTAAGTTGATTTGGCGTTGACTTCCCATCAGTCAGTCGGTTGTACAAATACATATTTATAAAGATATGCTAATTTAGATAAGAGAGTATCAATGATTCAAGTTTACGACAAACATATTCCATGAACAGTATATTAAAATTATATTCGAGAGCACTCATTTTTATACCCTGAACCCATTAACAAGGGAAAAGGGTATATATATGTTGTACAAATGTGTTTAACCGATAGATAAATCCCACAAATTAGTACTCTTGACCGGTTCAACCTTATTAATGTATCGATTATATGATCGGCTAGTCATATTTTTCGAGATCTCCCAAAATTTGTGCTTTCGATTTTTATCGAAAACAAATATACCCTCTTTACCAATTTTCAATGGGTTCAGGTTATAAGTATGCTTGGGAAGGGCGTGGCAGCGCGCGAATGCATGCTAGTCTAGGCATAGAGCTATGTCTCGACGTACAGTCCAATTAGACAGAGCTGGGAAGCTTACCTTTCACAAATTTGGGAACATTTTGGTTATTTTTGTGAAAAGTTGAGGACTTTTATAGGTAAAAGATTTTCGTTTAATCCGAATTATATTTATCTTCAAAACTCTTCAATCCAAAGAATAAGTGGAAAATTGGAAGGTTTTTTCCAACAAACTTCAAACACATTCCAGAAAATCCATTTCTCCCAATAATTTGAATATTTCAAGAAATTAACAAGAACTAATTATGCATGTAATATCAGTTCTTATTGTATGTAAGAAAATGAAGAATATTCAAATGCAAATATTGTAAGCGAGGAGCTAGTTCCAACTATTATTGTGAAAATTACATATTTACCAAGCTCTATTTGTAATTTTGATTTAAACAGCGTGGAAAATAAAACGTGATTAAACATAATTTTAGCCAAAGGTGAGGAAAGAGTAAAACTATTAGCCCAGCTATTTACTATTTTGCCGGGTAGCAAAGCTTGTAATTTTCTTATGAAAAGTGAATTTTATGCAAAATATGTTAAATAAACTATGCTCAAACACCACATAATCAGCCAAAGGGCAGGGCGATAACAATGCCAGCAAATAACCGAAAAGGGGCAAAACGACATCAACGCCTGTGGAAGGTTTTTAATTGCCTTGCAAGATGTGGTGTATATTTTTGGGACCAGCTCCGTGTGTTCGGGCTTGAGATGCCTGCAAAGATAATAAGATTGTAAACTATGCAGAGGAATATTGGGGGTGTCCAAGGGTTGGGTTTCATCGTATGTCTCAACTGTGAGTGTGTGTGTGTTTGTGCTGTGTCCACTCTGAATCCTTGTTTATCCTTAATGCCTATGTCGTCTCCATTTAGACGTGTTGCCGTTTTAATGCCATA